GCTGGAGACGTAGATCAACGCCGTGACGGCCCGAATGTTGTGTGCGAGGATCGATTCGGCAAGACCAGCCCCGGCCGATCGAATCTTGCACGCTCGGAAGAAGTAATATCACACTGGGTAAGGAAAGAACGTGGGCGAGCATCGGGGCCGACCGGGGCTCCGGGGTGCCGGCGCCGACGGACCGCTGAGGAACGTTCGCAGCCGCCCCAAGAGGAGACTAGGCAAGCACGATCGCGGATCTCGTCACCTTAATCGCCCGAGAGAAGATTTCCCGAAGTGCAACTCAACCCCGATGGCACCAGCAGGTCCGCAGAGCTCAAGGAACGCGGGGGCCTAATCGGAGAAAGGGTTGGCCAACAGGAGGAGGGGGTCGTCGGCGCATCCTGTCGCGACCAGCCACCTGCATACTGGTCCAGGGCCAGGGCGAAGTGCATCATCGAGGCAGGGCGTCCTTGACGGACCCCGCGTCCGACAGGGAAGCTAGCTAGGACCACTCCACCGAAGTGAACTCTAGTCACATGTGTCGCGGGAGGTTGTCAGAGCGTTGCGCAGACCAGGCAGGGCCCCCCATGCGTTGCAGGACAAGCAGGGCCCACTCGATAATTAGGCTAGTGAAAGCAGCCTGAAAGTCCGTGAAGAGTTGAGCCGCACCATCACGGCCTTCCACGTGAGCCAGGAGCCCACCCCCTTCACATTCGATAGTGTTATCCAGGATAGAAAGACCAGGGGCACCACCAGTCTGAGACTACAGAATGGTATGAGTACTATACCGGGTAAGAGGACTGGCGACTGCAACCGCGGTTAACTTGCAATCGGTACATCCCATGGAGAGTGGGCGGGTCGAGGAAGGTTTCCGGGCAGGTACGGCGGAAGCATTCGCAGGGCGGTCCCCTTGCGGAAGAAACAGCCATCAACGTGTCGTGCCAGTCATCGGGAAGCGGGGCTTCAGGGTGACTTAAGCAGTGGATAGAACTCGCGCGTGATCGACTGGGCCCCAGGGTTCTTCCAGCATCCATGTGGTGGGCCGTCGACCCCGGGCGTCGAATTGCCAGACTTCTGCACTGGGGCCCCAAAAGCTGCCGCACCCCGAACCCATTCCTGATTAAAGCAGAGAGTGTCGGCGCGCTGAAGGCACTGGGACAGAGTAGGTCAGAGCGCACGAGCAGGTGACTTGGCAACAAATGCAGCGCCCCAGCGACGGGCAAGCTCAGCGCCCGCGCGCTGCATGGACGCGCAAGGGGCGCCCGCGCTCTCAACCAGAATGCGGCCCAGACGCGCAGACTTGTTCCAACTGCGCCAACTCTCGCGATTGCGTTGTGCGCGGGCACGCCTGCGTGCTACTTCATGCTCGGGGCGCCCCCCCGCTTGCTGTGAGGCTTCTCCCTCGCTGTCCAAAAGTTGATTGTGCAGCGTGGCAATGTGCGCAGGCAGCCCATGATGATCAAAGAACGCGCCTGCGCCCGCGTCAAAGGAGCCGGCGGGGGAGGGATGGGCGCGCGCAGCACGCGCGACAAAATAAGCAACGTGGGCACAAAACCCTCTCAGAGCAACGACGCACCACTGGAGATACTTACGAGCAGATTCTGCCAGCCGAGAGCGCACAACCTTACGAGAATCAGCGCGCGCCTTGTGCGTGGCCACCTTGGCCCGAGCTAACCGAAGGCGAATCGGGGGTCGCGCGTCGATCGCAGCGATCCGCCTGTCGAGGCACTCGCTGAACTCAGGGGCCGAAGATGCAACCTGAAATCGGAGGCGGGCCATCCGAGAAACGAGGCTCAGGGGCAATTGTGACCGTCGCAGGGGACTGATCTGAAAGGTTCTTGGCGTTCTAAGGCATACCTGAAGTGGCCCCAGCCACGACAAGGTCCACGAGCCAAGCCGGGGGAATCTCCACACACGCGCGATCAAGACGAGCCGTCGAGACAACCTTGGAGCCCCGAAAGATGCATTCCACTCGCGAGTGAAGGCCGTGCCGCCACGATAGAGAGAGTCCCATCTTCGTGATTGGATCGCCCCTCATCGCTGAAGACAAAATTGAAATCGCGAAGGAGGGCGTGGGCAGCGGTGGCAGCAGGGAGATGAGCAGAGCGGATGCAAGAGAGAGAGAGAGAGAGAGAGAGAGAGAGAGAGAGAGAGAGAGAGAGAGAGAGAGAGAGAGAGAGAGAGAGAGAGAGAGAGAGAGAGAGAGAAAAAAAGAGAGAGAGAGAGAGAGAGAGAGACAGAGAGAGAGAGAGAGTGACGGTAATTGCCAATCCCTGCGTCGACATTGGGTAGGTGAACTGCAACGACCCCGAAGAGACCAGCCACGCCCCGACCAAGAACGTGCGACGCCTGGCCGGGGCAGGAATCTTCTGGGTGAAACCACAGGAATAAGGCTTATCCGGAGAACGCGCGAGGATACCGTGGCCAGTGGTTTCGCCAGGGTCGGGGTTGAAGAAGAACCTGTGGGATGGAAATTCTTTCTGGGAAGAATCTACATCGCCTTCATGACCGCGGGGCCCTTGAGCGCAGACGATCTGATTGCGACGAGCGAGGGCCAACATGTGGAACCCCGCTCCCTCATGCTAGTAACGGTGGCAAACAACCCACTGGCATTCCACGCGACGATCGACGTCGGTTTCTTGAGAACGGAGGGCGCGAAGGACGTCGCGCCGACCCCCCCGCGGATCATCTTGGGCCTCGTCCGAGCAGCCTTCGCGCAGAAGAGAGGCTGCCTCCTGTGATGGCCGCCCAGCCTGCTCGGAGGCACTAGACTCCGAAGTAGAGGACGTGCTAAAGACTCAGCTGCTCCCATGCCTTGGACGCAATCTCATCCTGCTTGCTCCCGATACGTATCTGCTTGATGTGGCGGGCGAAGGCGATCGCGCGCGGCTGCGCGAACGCCAGCGAGGGCTTCTGAGCGCACTGCATCTTGAGCGCACCGCCCGCGTAATCATTGGAGAGAACGCGTTCCGCGGGCGCTCGCCGCGGGAACATTCGGCGGCGCGTTTCGAACCGGGCCCCCCCAAACGCTCGGCGCCGTCGATCATAACGGCCCCCCCCCGCCCCCCACCCCGCCCCCGACCCCCCCGCCCCCCCCTCCCAACAGGGGGGCGGGGGTTCAAACCCCCCCCTGGCGCCGGCGCCGGCGGCCGCCAGCAGCGCCGACGGCGGGGGCGCGGCGACGATGACCAGAGGCAACCCAAGGGGGCGGGGGGGCTTCAACTCCCCGTCCCCTGGCGCCGAGGGGGGGGGGTTCAAGCCCCCTCCCCCTGGCGCCGGCGCCGGCGCTGGCGGCGGCCAGCAGCGCTGGCGCCGGCGCCGGCGGGGGCGCAGCGACGATCAACCGCCGCTACCGCCGCCGCCACCGCCACTGCCACCACTACCGCCGCCTCAACCCACCACCACCACCGCCACCGCCAAGCCGCCGCGCAACCACCTCCACTGCCACCGCAGTGTCACCACGCCGCCGCCACCACCACAACCATCACCACCGCCGCCGCCGCCGCCGCCGCCACCACCGCGCCGCACCAACGCCACCACCACCACCGCCACCGTCGTCCTCGTCGACGCTCCCCGCCGCCGCCGCCCGCCGCCGCAGTCGCCGGCGCCGGCCAAAAAAATTCGATCGTCGCCCCCGCCGCCGCCGCCAGCCGAAGAGAGGGAGAGAGGAGAGGTTGGGGGGGGGGTCCGGTTCCCCCCCCCTCCAAACGACCACAGAACGCGCTCTTTCAATCATTAGAGATGAACGCGATGCCATTCCCGACCGAGGAGTCTACTCACCAACCCGCAGGCTGTGGGGTCGACTTGACGACTGATTCGAGCTCCGAACGAATCTTGCCCATCATGGTTAGCTGCGTGTTAGCCTCGCCGTCACTGAGAGGCTTAAGAAGCAAAATGCGAGGGTCCTTGGGGGTGGCGAGTTCGAACCCGCCAGGGTAATTCTTGCGGGGCGTCTCGATAGTCTCCGACGCTGCATCGCCCGACGGCAACGCAATAATCACTTTCTTCGAGGAGTTCTGGTGGGTGACCTTCATCTGCTGCAAAGCCTCGGCCCGAGCGCATGCTGTCAAAACTGCCGCCCCCGCCTCAATGAAGACCTTGCGAGCGAACGCGCTCCCAAAGTCCACAACAGTCCCCTAGAGCAGGTCCTGATTGCCAAGACTATCACGAGTACCGAACCTAGCCTTCATCGCCACGTTGCCCTCACTGCCCTCGTCGCTGCTGGAACCGACGCGGCTGCTAACGCCACCGCTGTTCGCCAACGACTTCAGAATAGTCAACGCCGCGTCCGTCTCTGCTAGCTTCTTCATCTGCCGATTCAATCCTTCCCGCATCCCCTTCGTAACCTCGGCAATCACTGCTACCTGCTCAATCACCTTCGCGATCGAATTGGTCAACGCAGCCACCTGGGCCGTCAGATCCGCGATCGCTTTCTCTGTCGAGGACGGTGCCATTGCACTGCAGAACAGAACCCTGGTTGATAACGAGCGGCTGATCCGACCTGGTCGGAAGGGGAGGGGCGCAGAGCAGGGCAGCTGTGCCCAGGATTCGAGCTGTCCCCTTAGCTGCGAGCAAGCTCGAAGCACCAGGGATTAGCGTTTCGACCATGAGCCAAAATGGCTGCGGATGCTGCTGATGGTGGCGATGATGACAATGATGGCACTGGTGCTGCTGTTGATGACGATGTTGATGATGACGCTGGTATTGCTGATGATACTGTTGGCAATGAAACGAAGGATGGTTATGGTTCTGATGATGACGGTAATGGTGATAATTATGATTGTCATGGTGGCGTTGGTGATGCGGATCATGCTGTTGAGGATGATGGCGGTGACGCTGATGACGATGATGATGGCAATACTGACTACGGCGATGTCAACGACGATGATGATAATGATGCCGATGCTGATGCGGATGCTGATGATGATGGGGGGAAAATGACGAAGCTTCGGAGACGGATGCATACAACAAAAAGGAAACTCCGACCCTGCTCCTGCCTCTTCTCCCAACATCTTGGCCTCAACGTCCACTTTCTCCACGCGGACCATGATGACCTGCCCAATCTTCAGGTGCTCGGAAATATCCTGCCCAAGGGAATTCGGTTTGCGCACCGCGGCCAGGACCGTGCAGCGGTGTCGAATACCCCCATCCCAACCCAAACCTCGGAGGCGAGCCGGAGCTTGGGCGGCCCGACAGGAAGACCGACGAAGAGAGTGATATACGTATGTAGGTTTGTACATCTATGTGTACATGTAAACATGTATGTGCGTATGTATATATATACATACATAGATATATGTGTGTATACAAATACGCAAACACATGCAAACATACCTATTTACATACATGCATGTGTACATGCATGTATGCAAATATGTACAAATATGTGTTTATGTGTGTATATATATAAAGAGAGAACGAGAGAGAGAGAGAGAGAGAGAGAAAAGAGAGAGAGAGAGAGGGAGAGAGAGAGAGAGAGAGAAAAATAACGAGAGAGAGAGAGAGAAACAAAAGAGAGAGAGAGAGAGAGAGAGACTGAGAGACGGAGAGATGGAGAGAGAGAGAGAGAGAAAGAGAGAGAGAGAAAGAGGCAGAGAGAAACAAAACAAAAGAGAGCGCGGGGAACGAGGGAGGAGCGGCAATCACAACTCGCAAACTCTCGCGGCCGTCGCCGGGCCTCCGACACACAGGTGCACGGATCTCTCCCGTCGTGAACCAAGATGCCGTGGTGCGTTGATCGCAGTCGTACTGTCCACGACCGCGCTGTTCGTCACACTGCACGCTCAGCTACGGACGTCACGGTTGCGCTCGGGAGGGAGAGAGAAGCAAGGAGCAGGAGCAGCGAGCGAGAGGAGAAGGACGGGACAGAGGTGGTGAGGGGCGAAGGCGATGAGGCAGAAGGCAAGGGGTATGGAGGAGTAGAGGTGCAATGCATGAGGCAGATGGGGAGGGGGAGGAAGAGGGAGGATCAGCGGGGACTCGCAGAGTTGGTTCCAAGACTGGGTCCCATAGGCAAAAGCCTCTGAGGTGAAGGCGGAGTGAATGGGAGAGACCAAACCTAGATTCACAATTACAATGATAAGTACTACATGGGTATGTCATGTCCAAGCGATATCTAGCTCAGGGCCTTCCGCTCCCGCTCCTACGACTTCTATCACTCTACTGGCCCATGAGCTGGATGTCTTGACCCTCCCTCCTCACCACAATACCGTTCTTAGCGATCCGACTTGATTTGATGTCCCAGGGGGTGGGGCCCCGACGGAGATGCGAATTTGCCGAAACATCAGTCCACTGATGTTGAAGGGCGTGCTGGCCCAGTAGTTGGCGGACAATCCATGAAGGGGGCGTGCATGGCCCAGTGGCTGCCCTCGGTGGCGTTCTGATCCCCCGTGCAAGTTGAGGCTGGGGTTTGGATGCCAGCCACTGAATTTGAGGGGCTTGCTACTCCCAGCGTCAGCGGCAGCAGCCCCAGCGGGTGGGGGGATCAACGCATGAGAGACCAAAGCCTCATGATGATGGGCCAACAACACCCCAGCATGAGGAATCAATGCTACAGGGGCCAAATCTCCAGCATGATTCTGTCAACGTGTGAGGGGCCAACGCCCCAGCTTACGGGGTCAAGGCGTGAGGGGACAGAGCCCCAGCATGCGACGCCGACGCATGAGGGGCCAAAGCCCCAGCATGAGGGGTCAACGAATGAGGTGTCAAAGCCTCAGAGTAATTGTCGAGCACCCCAACATAGGGAATCAATGCACGAGGGGCCAAAACCCGAGCATGACTATGTCGATGCATGAGAGGCCAACTCCTGAGGCTGAGGGGTCAACGCGTGAGGGACCAAAGACCCAGCATGACTGTTCACCGCACACTGGCCCCAATTTGAGAACGTGGGTCAACGGGTGAGTAGCCAAAGCCCCACTACGAGCATGGCATCGCATGTGGGGCCAACGCCGCGCATGAAAATAGCAACGCATGAGCGGCACCAGCCCCACCTTCAGGGGTCGACGCATTGGGCCAACACGCCCCAGTATGAAGCGGCAAACGCCTCAGCATGACGCGCCAAGGCCCCATCATGATTACCACTGGCCCTCTGTGCATGTGTTCTGGGGAGTTTCACCTGGCGCGCGCTTGACATGCTTGAGCCAACGTGGCACCTGGCGCACGTGGTGCGCGAGGAGCACCTGACATGCGCGGCGCACCTCGCGTGCGTCGCGCATCTGGATGGCGTCTGCATTGGTTCCCGATGGTTGTCGAGGGCGGCCCCTGCCTGTGCTGAGACCTGGGTGCTACTTGTGTAGTGGGAGGGCGGGTGGGCATGAGAGAGACAGCTTGCGGCGTTCCCGTTGTGAACTTGGTCACTGTTCGCTATTGATAAGCACCCCCTCCCCCAAGCGACTGGCAACCAACCAGGACACCCTGACCCCCCCCCACCGTCCCTGTCAAACAGCAATGCTCACTACACTTTGCCTCCAAATCTGGAGCATGCGCGGGGGCACCGCGACCACTTTGCAAGTTTTTTGTCGGGGACTGCGGAGGTGCCCTCATGTTGCTTCCAGCGCTCGGGCCAACAATCCTTCTCATCTTACAATGCAAAATGCACAATGCTTCCACAACTGGAGCATGCGCGGGCACCCTACGACCACTTTGTAATTGCTTTTAACAGGGATACGCGGGTGCTACTTATGTGTTGGGACGGCGGGTGGGAGTGAGCGAGATGGCTTGCGCTGTGTGAGCAGGAGGTGTCTGGACCCCCCTGCCCACCCCCTTCCCTAGGTCTGGGCGGGGGGCGCGGACGCGAGAGGCGTTGGAGAGTCCAAGATGGTCCTAGGAGGGTCCCAGATAGACTAAGCTGGCCACCAATATAGCTCGACACGATCTGGGACATGCCTCCAGGAGGCCACAGCGCCACAGCGCCACTCCCAAGGAGGCCCCTGATACGCCCACATCGGACAATCACGAAGCTCGCCATCGCCCGGACGTCCATTCCCCGTGCATGTTTCGGTGTCGTGCGTGCGTTTTTTCGCAAGGTGGCCCAATCTGCTCCTCGATGGCCCTCGCCGAGAAAACATGGATACGTCCGAGAGGTGCCAAGGCAATAGATTTCACTGCTGACGCCTGGCCATTTCGCTCCAGATGGGCCCCTGAAGTCCTAGCGCGGTCCCAACATCGCCCCTCAAAGCCGCGATGCAAGGCACAGCACATGTCCGGTGCGCCCCAAAGAACGCCCATAACGACGCCCCGATTGGACTTCACAGGAGGCGACTTGCGGGGCTGCGGGGGGCGGCGTGGAGTCAGGCCGACCCCTCGTTTCCTCGATGACCTGCACTCCCTGCTGGGGGGGCCGCCTCGAACTCGGGCGGCGGGGCGAAGCGGGTCAGCGAGATGAAGGCACTTGTTTTCAGGCATCGCAGGCACCGACGAAGAGCTCCCCCACCTTCATGCAGATACGGAGGTCTGCTTTCACACGCTCCGCGGGGCGTGGCGCCCTGGCGCTCGCGGAGAGCCGCTGTCTTCGGACGAGCGGCATTCAGACAGGGTAGACGGGCAAAAGCTTTTGCATGAGGGACGGGGGCCCCGGGACCCGTGTTTGCGTTCTTGCAGTATGTCTGATCTTGCTGGCACGGGGCGGGATCCTCTTCGAATTCGTTATCCTTGGCGGCCTTCTCGAGCACTGACCGGGGAAGGCAGTGCTTTACGCATGGGGATTCTGAACGTACAAGGCTTTGATTGGAGCAAGCTCATATATAGGGACAAGATGGCACACATCCTCGACTCTCTCCACCTACTCCGCTGATGTCCTGCTCACTCCTGATCTGCACGCGTTCGATGCGCCAGAGAATTCGCACGAGTACCTGTTCGTCGGCGGGCTTCTGTGGATAATCACTCGACGGGTGGGCATTCTACTTAGCGTAGCTGCACGGAAGGCATGGGTGGAAGGAGAGAAGAAGGTCATGGTGGAGGGGGATCGGAACCTCGCTGTCGGCCTCCAGCTCGCATGCGGCGCCGGCATATCGAGCCCTGGGCACTCCATGGTCAGAAGCTGACGAGACTCGCATTGCTGAGCTCCGACAAGACACCCGCAAGTGCTGGACAGCCCTGCAGTCCGCTCGTGCAACTGACCAGGAGGCGGCCGCCCGCACCACGTTCCACAAGGCCAAACGTCTCTGGGAGCACACCAAGCAGCGAGCGAGACGGCGGTGGATCGCGACGAAGACTCGGGAGCTGACCAGTGCTCACGCTTCGGGAGATCTCGGCCGTGTCTATACGATTCTGCGGCGCATCTCCCTTCTGGAGAGCGGCACCTCGTTCAAAGGCTGGGAACGTTTCACCCTCGAGCAGATGCGCCAGCACGTCATGGAAATCGCGAAGGACCTGGGCCACGTAGAGGACGCCACTCTCCAGCACGGCCTTCCCGCACTCGAGCCCGCGCTGTGGATTGACGATGTCCCGGAACACCAGGAGATCATCAAGGCGCTCAAAGGCATGCGCGAGACCGCTGCTGGGCCCGACCAGTTGACGCCGGTTATGCTCAAGAACGCAGGGCCGGCTCTACATGCTCTGCTGGTGGCGGTGGTGCAAGCCATGTGGCAGCAGGATCCGGACACCTGGCCCGCCTCTGTCCACGAGGGCTACGGCATCTTTCTGCACAAGAAAGGCCCGCGCGAGAAGCTGGACAACTACCGCTGCATCATGATCTGCTCCATCTGCAGCCGCCTGATTGCGCGGATAGTGTCCGCCCGCCTTACGAGGTACCTAGACAAGGCGGGACTTCTTCCAGAGCAGCAGTATGGCTTCAGGCCGTACCGCTCCGTTGCTGGCCTGATTTTCTTCCTCCGCATCGTGCTCGAGTGCGCCGCCGCTCCCGACACTATGGACGTCGGCGACCCGCTGGTGGCCATTTTCGCAGACATTCGCAAGCCTACCCCCAGACGATCAACGAGGCCATGTTCACGCTCACGGAGCGTGCAGGTATACCTCCCACGGCGAGATGCATTCTGCGTGGCCTGCACAGCCTTACCAGCTACCAGATCAAGAGCAGCGAGGGGCTGAGCGAGCCTTCCCGGCTCCCGAGAGGCCTTCGTGAGGGCGACGTCACGTCCTGCCCGCTGTTCAACCTGTACCACGCCAACGCGATGCGCCACGCCACAGCGGCCACGCGGGCCGAGTTCGGCGAGGACGTCGGGGTGCCGCTGGAGGTCCGCAACAGCGTCCGGCTGGGACTCAAGCCGGGGGCCAAGGCCCGCCAGGCGCCCACCGACGAGCTCTTCACTCTCCCCACGCTGCACTGCGCTGACGACACCAACCTCTTCTGCCGGCGCAGCCAGCACAAGCGGCTCGAGCGGCTCCTCGAGGACACGCTCAAGCTCTGGGGCGTTGAAGTCCACCCGGGGAAGTACGAGAGACTGATCACGATCCCGGAGGGAGATCCTCACCCCCCAGGCTTCGCCGAAGCAGCACGCTTCATAGGCGGCTGGCTCCGCGGCGACGGCCGCCACAGCACGGACACAACCAAGCGGGCTGAGCAAGCGAACGAACTTTGGCAACGCCTCTTCTCGCAGATCCCGCGCCTGGCCATCGACCCGAAGGACAAGGGCAGGCTGATCCGTGCTTTTCCCATGGCCGGCATGCTGCCTGCCGCCGAAGCCCGGCTGTGGTCCGCCGGCGACATCAAGCGCTTGCAGGTGATCCAGAACCGTATGGTGAGGGGAGCGCTGGCGCAGCGGATCCGCGACATGCACGAGCAGCAGCTCACCATGTCCGACCTGCGCCTCACGCTAGGCCTCGACCTTGTGTCCACGGAGATGGGCTGGCGACAACTGGCATGGCTCGGCCACGTAGCCCGCATGCCTGAGGACAGGCTGGAGCGCCGGGCCCTCTCTCTGTGGATTGCCGGGCATCTCCCGCGGGAAGGCCGGGTGGCCTCCAGCACTCGCCGACAGCTTTGGCAACGCCTCTGCGAGCTCCTCGTTTTCACTGACTTGCAGCGCAAGGACTACCAGACGGCGTGGATGTCCCTCGCGCAGGAGAATAACGGCAAGCGCTGGCGTTTCCTCATGCGGGAATAGCGCTGGGACCGTCGGGTCCAAGATGCCAAGGACTGCTGGGCCGCGAGACACGCTCGCCAGGACGCTGCCGCCCCTGCCGCTCCTGCCCCGCTGCCGAGACGCAGGCTTCGTGGCAAACAACCCGAACCAGTACATGCAGGTGGAGGCGGAGGAGGAGGAGGAGGCTTTGGTGGAGAGGAAGGAGGGCAGCTTCATCGCGCAGCAGAAGGAGCAGCAGAGGGAGTCGCAGAAAGAGGAGGATGAGGCAGAGGAGGAGAGGCAGCAGCCAGCGGCAGCAGCGCCGGCCCTCGCCGAATCCCGTGTCCACTCTGCTCAGCGCTGATCGGCTGGAAGGCTGTGCTGAAACATCGTGCTGCCTGCGAGAGACGCAGCGAGGCGGAACGAGCCCGGTGGCGAGTGCAGTTCGACAGGCAGAGAGCACGGCAAGACCGGCTGCGCAACCTCCGCCGCGGCCAGCCCGCTGGGCCCCCCGAGGCTGCGCCAGAACCTCGCCTGCGCCTCCGCGGCAAGCAGTGAGAAACCGCCGTGTGGCGCCGCTACCGGGCCCGAACCGCCCTCCTGGCAGATGATGCCCGCAGGCGTGCTCACTGGCAGCCTGAGCTGCACCGAGGCGCCGCGCCGGTGGATGCCTGGCAGAGCAAGGGAGCGGTAGACAAGCTTTCGAGGCGGCCGGAGGAGCGGCCGAGGCAACCCAGGACCGCATCCGCGCACGCAAGTGGCAGCAGAAGATCCCCGGCGAGGAGGCACCTGCCAAGCGTCAGCTCCGGTCCTTTCAGCCACCCGACGGCTGGGGCAGCGCACCTGGACGCACACCTCTTCAGCAGGCTCTCGAGCAGCCCATCCCAGAGGCAGTGAAGGCCCGGGGATGCAACGGGGCCTGCAGCAGCTGCAAAGGCTGCGTGCGGTGCCGAGATTTTCATTGCTGCTTCGGGGGCCAGTACCGCGAGTGGGGGTGCCCAAAGTGCCAGACGTGTTTGCGCTGCAGGTCCGCGTGGAAGGACGAGGATTATGCCAAGTACGAAGCCTGCCGCACCACCCCGCGCAAGCCTCGCCTCGAGAATCTGCCGTTGCCACCGGAGCCAGAGGGATGGGAAGTGAACAAGTGCTGGTTCTGTCTCTGGGACATGGGTAGCCTTCGGAAGCGTAATCTTCACGTTCGCACCTGTCTCCACATGCCTGTCAAGATGTGGCTTGCACGATGCAGATTTCTATGGCCAACCACGTGCGTCGAGTATCCGTGCCAGCACTGTGGCACTCATTTTGCTATTGCCTCTTCTCGTTCATCCCACATGAAGCACTGCTCGAAGAGATTGGGTCTTGCTGGCTATCCTCTCTCGACTGGCACATGCATCAGCACCACTGTTGCCGACGCGTGCCTGCCGCCCGATTTCAGCCTCCAGCGCGGGCGCACTGCAGAACCCCCCCCCCGGCCCGGGGCCGTGGCCATGGAGCAGGCGAAGCGCAAGCTGCAGGAGCTCGCCGGCGAGGCCGGGGCCCCCAAGAGCCCCAGGCGGCTGCCGCCTGAGCGCCGAGGCGCTGGGCAGCAGCGCGGCGGCGGAGGCGGAGCCGGCGCCAGCAGCTCTGGAGACGGCAGGATCATGAACGTCCTGGTGCGCGACTGCCTGGGCACGAAGCGGACGGGCGGCAACCTCCGTGCGGCGCTCGGCTGGGGTGGTGATCTTTAACGCCGATGCAGCGGCGGAGGCTTTCTTCGCCGAGGTGGACACATGGATGCAGCAGCTGCCCGAGAAGACCGAGCAGCAGAAGAAGGACCGCGTCTTCATCCCCCACCCGCTCGGAGGATGAGGAGGAGGAGGAGGAGGAGGAGGAGGAGGAGGAGGAGGAGGAGGAGGAGGAGGGGGGGAGGAGGAGGAGGAGGAGGAGGAGGAGGAGGAGGAGGAGGAGGGAGGAGGAGGAGGAGGAGGAGGAGGTCTGGAGCTTCGTCCAAGTCTTGCTGTACCTGCAGAGCCAGCTCCCGGCTGGCCCATGGCGCCAGGGGCGCCCTCGCAGCAGCAGGCGGGGGGGGACGAGCAGGCCACGAAGACGGTGACGGCCACGCTCGAGAAGATGCAGGCGCTGAACTTCGATGACTGGGAAGCACATCGACATCGTCGGCTCCTTCAAGCCGGAGCACGCGAAGCCGAAGACGGGCTGGATCTGGACGCGGGAACTGTCCTGGGCAGATCTGGCCCCGGAGACCGTGAGGGTCCTGCTCCCACAGTTCCAGAAGTGCTCGGTCAAATTTGGTTTCCGGCTGGAGCACGCCAGGTCTCTGCCGACGGAGGAGGAGAAAACGCTATGGGAGTGGAGCAAGCGCCAGCCGCGGACGAGGGGCTGAAGCCGGACGCCAGCTCAGAGCAGCCGTACGCGATTCTTGTGCACTTCCACATCTACCTGCCCTCCCTCTACACCTACACGTACCTCTCCCTGCACATCTTCTGCATCGTCCTCTTCTCCTCCCTGGCCCTCTTCTACGTGTACCCCATCATGTACTTGAATTGCCCCCAGTGGTTCACGAATACGTACTCCTATGCCTCCTCCCACGCCCTGTGCTCCGATTTCTACGTGTCCTTCTTCTTCCGGGCCCTCCTCTGCGTGTACCCCATCCTCTTCTCCTCCCTGGCCCTCTTCTGCGTGTACCCCATCATGTACTTGAATTGCCCCCAATGGCTCACGAATACGTACTCCTATGCCTCCTCCCGCGCCCTGTGCTCCGATTTCTGCGTGTCCTTCTTCTTCGGGGCCCTCCTCTGCGTGTACCCCATCATGCGCATATTCCACTCCCCAGTGTTCACGAATACGCACTCCTATGCTCTAGTGTACCAGATTGTCGAGCTTGTCCTCCAGAAGTTCACCCATGTTACTGAGTTTTTCGTGTATTTCTCCCACATATACATCATGTGCTCGGGCATGGCCGCGTTGCATGTTTCAGAGGCCCGCGGGCCACCCTGGCTGCCGGGCGGGGCCGTGAGAGCCCCCGCCGTCAGTCAGGATCGTGACCGGCTAGGCGGGGCGGACAAGGTGATCCGCTTATCTTGCAAAGCCACTACAAGCAACATTCTTCCCGCCACTGCCGGCGGCCACTCCCCCTACACCTTCGTCCCGCTCTACACTTATATTCTGTACCACGTGTACTTCTACAAGTCCATACCTATTTCTCTCATGCCCGAGGAGGACCGGATAGATTTCTATGCCATGCTCATGTGCAGCATGCGCTATTCTGGTGTGTACCCCTCCTACACACATGACCTGCACTCTGGCCCCGCGAAGGGCCCGACGAGCCGCGGAGCGAGCCCAGAGCGAGCTCCAAGAAGATCCCAACGGCTCCCCCAAAGGGGCCCCACGAGAGCTGCAAGATGTCTCCAGTAGGTCCCAGCGTGTTTTTTTATATTTTTGTTTGTTTGTTTTTTTTGTTGCCTTCAAGCATTGGAAGACAATATAACGTTTTACATGCTTTTGGATTTTTTCTTCCGATGGACGCATCCGCCGTGCCCTCCAGGGGCCTCCGACCAGCTGGGGCCTCCAGCAGGTCCCAGCTGGCCTCTAACCTCACTGCTGCTGGCCTGGCTCCTTCGCTCTCTCTCGAGGTGCGCGACGCGTCAAGGCTACGCCGCGAGCCCATCATGGGCCACAGGCCCAGCACGAGGACCTGCCACGCGTCGGAGGCCGGCGCCCCAGAGGAACACGACTGCTCTGCTGGGTCGGGCAGCCCCCTAATTACAGGCAGATGTCTGGAGGAGGAGTGGACAGCAGTCAAAGAATACCCAAACATTGTCAGACGAATGATCGGGCATGCCCCCCACAGGCAGATGTCTGGAGGAAGAGCGGACAGCAGTCAAACAAATACTCAACCATTGTCAGACAGACGATCGAAAAAATCGTACCCAGACTGATTTTTGACTGCTCTTTGAAAATTCCTCCTGGGGGAGGGACACGCCCGCCCTAACACTACTGTGGCAGCGCACGAGGGGCCCAGCGCCCCGGCACGGGCGTGGCACCGCTCCACGGGGCCGTCTGCCCAGCATGTTGGGGCTGTCGGCGCACGGCGGGGCCCGTCGCCGAGCACAGAGGGGGCCGTTGCCTACCCGTCGGTCGGAAGAAGTTAGGCAAGCACACGAGGTAGGAAGGCGGATGAAGCAGATTAGGTTCAGCCCCTCCCAGAGAATCGCGGCACGCAGCAGAAGCACAACCGTCCACCCTTGAGGTGGGAAGGCGCTCGAAGCAGATCGGGATCTGGGGATCCAGAAAGAACTACCTTCAACGACCCGCGTGTACATCCCAGCACGGAGAGGTTCACTCACGAGGAGACACGAGGCCGAACATGGCTGTGGCGACGCAGGAGGGGCCAGCCCCCCCCCCCCCGCCCCACGAGCATGAGCACGGCGATGCAGGAGGAGTAGGAGGAGGAGGAGGAGGAGGAGGAGGAGGAGGAGGAGGAGGAGGAGGAGGAGGAGGGGAGGGGGGGGGGGGGGGGGGGGGGGGCAAACCCAGGGTCGACGCGGGATGGCCAAACGCCCGAGCAGGAGCACGGCAGCGCCCGTGGGGCCAAAGCCCCAACGAGGTCAATCTCACGAGGGGCCAACGCACGAGGGGTCACGACGTGAGGGGTCTAAGGCACGCATGGGTCGGGCAATGCACTTCTCCTCGTCCCTCCTCCTCCTCGTACCTCCTCGACTCTCCTCCTCCTCCTCCTCCTCTTCCTCCTCCCCTCCTTCCCTCCTCCTCCTCCTCTTCCTCCTCCTCCTCCTCCTCCTGCTGCTGCTGCTGCTCCTCCTCCTCCTCCTCCTCCTCCTCCTCCTCGCGGGGGCCACCGCCCCAGCGTGCGGAGCCGACGCGCACGCAGCCCCAGAGCCCAGCATGATGGGCAACAGCACGAGGGGGCCACAGCCCCGGCTGGGACGTGGCAGCACATGCGGGTCCAACGCCCTCGCGCGCGGGGGTCAACACAGGATGGGGCCAACGCCCCTGCACGGTTCAAACACAATGCATAACGACAGGGC